CATGTAAATGCAGTGCTGGCACACTGCTGTGCCAATATTCACGATTTTTCTTTGTCTTCCTCTTGCTGTTGCTGGACAGGATGTCCTCCGGCTTTGGGCCAAGTCGATCACTACCTGCCATCGAGGGGGTGGGCCCCTACTGGATACGGCCTGGTAATTGTGTAGCAATGCCCTTCTGTGAGAAGGAATTGATCGTTATCATTTGCCAGTCGCACGGCCGGCTTTTTCCATCCATTGAGGATCTCATCAGCAGCGACTGGTTCGCCTGGCCCAAGCAAACGCGAGTCCAAATCATCAACGACTGCGCAATCTCCGCCAGCGAGCCCTCAGCCGGCGCTGCACGCAATCACATGTTGGTTGCAGCGGCTACAGCATTGCCCGCGTTGCCTGCCCCGCAAGGGGTTCATGGCGTGCTTTGGACGCAGTGGCGCTCTCACGCTGGGCTGACGAATGGCGTGCATGCAAAGCTTGCCCCTCTCCTGGAAGTGTCCGCAAACTTTGCGGAGTTGGGCTCCCTGGCTATTGAATCAGCTTCTACGTTGTGGCGCCACATGCAAGGGATTAAGGATTTTTCTTGAATTCCGCGAGGGCGAAGATGCTTGCAACATTTGCAATCCACGGCGCTTGGTTCTTATTAGCTTCGTGTCTGCCGTGGGTGAAGAGAAGAGGTCGGTGGTTTGCGCGGTGTCGGCACCCAAATCTGCGGCAGCTCTCATGAGTTGGCGAGAGTTTATCAGCGATTTGGATAGCCAGGTTGTGTTAGTGTGGAAGCAACCTGTGGCCCGAGTAAGGGCCCGTAACCAGGCCATGTCGGTGCCGCAAGCTGTCGTGCTAAGTTCTCGCGCGGCTGCAACAGCATAGTGATCCTGCAGTGTTGGTGCCTGCGCTGTTGTGCAGTGACGGCAGTGTCCGTGTGGACCTCAGTTGTCCCGTGATCCCGCTAGGAGGGGTAGCTGTGGCAGGGTTAGTGGCGCCCAGATACGTTGCTTTGGCGCGGTTCGCAGGAGTTGTGGCGTTGGCCTGGACTCGTGTTTGTGTGTGCGGGTGTGCTCTGCGTGGTTGGTGGCTTGCTGGAGCGGCCCGAGTAGGGCGCTTGCTGACTCAGGTTCCATGCGTGTGTGTCCTTGCTGGAATGGCAAGAGCAGGGTACCTGCTGACTCACTCTGTGTGTGTGTGTGTGTGACTGTGGGGCTTTGCTGGAGTGGCAAGTGCAGGTTTCCTGCTGATTCACTCGGCGAGACGGAGTAGCCTTGGTTTCAGAGATCTTTGTGCTATCTCAGCAATGGTATGTGACGACGAGTCTGTGTGGACAGAGCTGGGCAAGCTGTAGATGAAGGCAAGCGTTAAGGAGTATTTTCTTGCTGAATGCAGGATGCTGTGCGAGAAAGATACCGCTCATCCAACAGGTGTATGCGCACTTCGTGCACTGCACACAACGTCTAGGCTTTAGGGGCTTTGGGCTCAAGGCTTGGGCTTAGTGCTTTGCCGAGCTCTCTGGCTTCTGGGTCCCAGCAGACAAAAACGGGAACTGAGAGGCCACCCTATACGACTTGGGGTTTGCGGTAGCTCTTGGTGATATGTCTTATAATAACCAGTGAAAAAAGGAGCACGTGAGACCTGTGTGGCTGTGTGGGAGCTTTGGAGGTTTTGCCGGGTTTGGGCTGTACTCGTTCAGGGGGTTTCAGGTTTACGGTTTCTGAGGATGTAATTGGGGTTGACCGGCCCAGGCCATCCCTGTCATTGCACCCTTAAACTCTCATTGATAAAACGTGAATCCTCGAATCCCAGACGCCGAACTGGCAAGTGTTTGACGTTGTAGAGTCACAGCAGGCCATTTGCAAAAGGGTTTAGGGCAAGGCATCAATGAAATGGCTTGGCTCAGGGTTTCAAGTTTTTACAATCCAAGACCACGTCGCCTCCTTAACCCTAAATCGTAAACAACAGAGCTCGAGCGATATGGTTCGCAGGGATTGCCCGAGTGTGAGCGCCGAAACCGTAAACCCTAGACCAAATGCCCCTAAACCTCAAGCACTGAGGTATCGGACATTTGAGGAGAAGCATGGACGAGGCAGGGAGATAAACCAAAACCCCAAACCGTAAACGCTATGTGGGCCTTTGGGTTCATGCAGAGTAGAGGCAAACTAGGTTGACAGAGGTAAGAGAGGGACCTGGGCAATAAGATAAGGGTTTTGTTTGTACTGTGTGTCAGGTACGCGCTTTCAAGGGGTCTGCTAATCCCAAGCCTTGCGACAGGAAACAGCAAAACCATTCTTGAACTGCAGTGCCTTACACAACAGCGGAAGTCGCGGCTTCCAGCTCTGCCTCGAGAGAGCGCTACGTTGACCTCTGATGAAGAATTCACAAGCTTTCACCAACCCTAAACCCCAAACCCTAAAGCCGAAAGATCCGACAATATGGAGTTTTCGGCGGGCAAATCTTAGTGAACTCATTGCAAGCCGTAAAGGCTAGCAGCTAGCATACCCAGCACCCAAAAGCCTGAACCCGTGAGAACCTGCTTACAATCCTGTGAAACACAACTACACTCACAGACACACTTCGTGCATGTTAAAGCTCTACAGCGGCTCCAAGCCGATAGGTGGCGGGCTCGCTGGGGCAGACAGGCAGTTGCCTGCAGATGGCTGCAGGGCTGCCGGGCCGATGAATGGTTTCGACGGCTTAGGTTGAGGGTTTCGTGTTCAGGGCTTGGGATTTCGGGCTGGCTTCAGATGTTAGTTTTTCGTCTTTCGGGTGTTGACGTTCGCGAGAGTCAGTGGCAGAAAACGTTTTCAGGGCGTTGATTTCTGCTACGCATGCAGCAACAACAACGACTACTGCTGCCGCTGCTGTGGCTGCCACTGCTGCTGCTGCTGCTCCTACTACTACTACTACTACCACCACCACCATCACTACCACTACCACGACGACGACGACTACCACTACCACTACGACGACTACGACCAGAGCCACCACGACCACCACCACTACCATTAGCATTACTATCACTACTAGTACAACTATCACTACCACTGCCGCTGCCGCTGCCACTGCCATTCCCACTCCCACTACCACTGCCACTGCCACTACGACTGCGACTACGACTACGACGACGACTACTGCTGCTACTGCTGCTGCTACGGCTACTGCTACGACTACTGCTACTGCTACGGCTACGGCTACTGCTACTAGTACTTCTACTTTTGCTCCTGCTTCTCTTTCTACTTCTGCTTCTGCTTCGACTTCTTATGAGAAGCTTTAAGGGTAACATCATCATTCAGGTGATTAATGAATGTTAACAAAAATAATAGGAAAAATACTACTCAGAATAAATGTAGCAATCAAGAACAACAAACAATGGTGAATGACAAGTCATGCTAATGAGCTGCAAAAAAGGAAATAATGCTAGTTAAAAATATTCAGACCCACAGTATCACTACTACCGCTGCCCGTGTGAGCCCAGGTTGCACTCTCAGCTCCGGCAGCAGATGCAGGCCGCCTGTTTCGGGGTCATTTTCACCGCAGCAAACGAAGCTTTCATGTTTGGGATCCAATGCTCAGAGCACGGCACCACCACCACCACCAGCAGCAGCAGCAGCAGCACCACCACGAACCCTTTAGTATAGGCCCTATAGATCTCTTGAAGGATCCCGAAAAGGAGCCCTAGTTATTCCTTAATTAAGGGGTATTGTTCTGTGGGTTGTGAGGCTTCGGACTACTCGCCGCGCCTTCCGCCGCTGGACGAGGAGAGCGGGTGTCCAGTTTTGTAAGAAAGTCTAGGGAGTAGGGTTTAGGGGTTTAGGGTTTAGCAGCTTGGCACGCTGCTGCTGTTGCCTTTCACCTTGGCCGGCTTGCCAAGCCCGGATGCAAACGAGTTTAGGAGTTTAGGGGTTAGGGGTTTAGGGGTGTATGGTTTAGGAGTTTAGGGTTTGAGGGTTTTGGGCCAGTTTAGGGCTTCGGGCTCTAGGGATTTCTGGCTATTTTCCAAGTTCTTTTTCTTGGGTGTGGATCAAATGCTACTTATATAATTATGATACATCTTGAAAGGATGTAGCTGCAGCATTCGCGATAGTAGAAGTACTGACGACAACGATGATCAACATACGGGGCGAAGCCCTAAAGCCTTAATTCTGGAGACCCTGTCCCCGAAATCTATTATCGTTACTGTTATTGCTATTACTATGACTTTACATATTATTGCTACTATTACTTCTATTACTACTATAAGTATTACTCCTATCATTGCTACGACCACTATTTTTACATTATATTAGTACTCGTATTATTCCTATTGGTATTTGTAATACTCTTGCTCCTATTGTTCCTACTGTCATTACCATTACCATTATTATTTTGATTGTTAGTAACATTATTTTTATCGTTACTATGTTACTACAATATTACCACGATTAGTACGATTGTTACTAGTATGACTATCTCATGGTTATTACTGTTCGTATTACTAGTGTCATTTTGCATTGTGGCTATTGTCATCACTCAGCACGCTGTCAGGCCATGTATTCTCCCGTGAGGACCTCCGGGCCTCGGGCGATGTATGGCCTTGGGATTCTGTGGAACCCCAAAACAGCTTTTGGTGTCGAGGACTTGCCGCCGGACATTCTGCCGAGGCCCTCGCCCGACCTGACTCTGCTTTCAAATCTACCGCAGAGTCTTCGAGATGCGCAGTGAAGCCCTTTCCGAAGCTCCGGAAGCTCTCCACTTACACTTGAAACCCCCCGTCCTGCCCAGCCTGAGCGGGCAATAGTGCAAATTGCAAGCAGCGGCATGGCCATGAAAGCTTCCCCTTGATCCGAAAGCCGTAGACTGTTCAGCTCGAATTACTCCCCGACCCGTCCCTGCTGCTGTACTTAGGGGTCGGTATAAGTACTAGGCTCCTGACTAACTTACTTACTTGCGTACGCGCTTACGTACTTACTTTTTTCTGCTTGCTTACTGATTTGCGCACTTAGATGAGCAAGCAAACCAACCAACGGCACACACATAGTTACGTACATGCGTACATAAAAATATATGCGGACAAACGAGCAACTGAGCGCGCACACACACACACATGGTCAGCTACAGATATGCTTATGCACATGTACATATAAATATTAATATCTATATACATGTATATGTGTATATGTATGCGTCTTTGTCTATGTCTATGTCCACGTCTACGTCTAGGTCTATGTATATGTATATACACGTGGCATATGTATATGTTTATATGCAGTGCATATGTAAGTGTAAGTGTATATGTATGCATATGTGTATGTGTATGTCCATATGTAGGTATGTATGTGTGCATGTATGTGTGTACGTATATGTGTATGTATGTATGTCTGCATGTCTGTATGTATGCAGGAACCGATGGATGGATGCTTGTACGTGTGGATGCGTGCATTCGTGTGAAGCAAGGGATTGCAGGAACACAGAGCACACAGTTACTTGCACTTTTGAAAGAATAACGTTTTTCGTTATTTCAGCCGAAACGGTTTGCAAAAAACAGACAGGTCTTTTGGCTCACGGAAGCTGTCAATAGGAAAGGCCGAGTAACCGCCATCTGACCGTCGAAACCCCGACCCTGGTACACGGTGGTACACGGGTTTTCCGTTGAATCGTAGTCTGAGAAAACTGGAGATCCTCATGGTATCTTCACCCCGACAACTTTGGCTCCTGCCGATGCTTCGTTTACGTGATTTACGTCTGTGGCACCCCTGCCCGCTTCCAAGAAGGGGCTAGGGGGGCAGGCCGAGCACGGGGCAGTGCGGGCTTTTCTGATTTAAAATAGGCCCTCATAGTAAGACTCGGGTCCTTTAAAAAAAAGGCCCTCTAGTAAGACTTGGGTCCCTTAAGGGGGTTCTACCGTGTTGAAGTAAGGGTTCTGTGATATACGCGCCTTTATCATTAGCGTATGCTTTTGGGATATAGTATGCTAATGAAAAGAGGGACGATAAAGAGACACGTTCTGCTTATGTTCCAGACGTCTATAGTAGGTTTCAGGGAACCACGGCACCGATTTCGTTCGGGTCTAGGGTTTGTGAAAAAGGGCTTAGGGTGGGGGGTGGGGAACATGAGCAACAGGCTTACACTTCAGTGCGCTGCCCTGTGGTTTTGCCATACGTGCATGCCTTCACCGCCAGATGGCAGAGCTATCTGCCCTGAGCCTTCCGAAAAAACGCGTCCGGGTTCAGGCATGCTGACCCTAAACCCCAAACCCTTAGCCCTAAATCTTGCAAACCCTTAGTCATGCAGGCCGATCTCAAATTGTTGGGCAGCCGTATTGTGAATATTGAGGGTACCAGCAGCAAGACAATGACGACTACTACTGCCAAAAGCAAGAATGATACGCTTCACGGTTAGTGACAGTGAAGAATCAACCGCAAGGCCACTCGCAAAGGGCTTTCTTGCCCCCAGGCCGAACTCTAGGTGCCGTTGTAATCCAGGGGACAACAGAAGCAGAAGAGCAGCTTTGGATGTCTTGTACACTGATCTTAGAGGGGATGTAAGTTGCATCGTCGGTAATCCATGTTCTGCCCCGCACTTGCATGGTCGCAGACATTCCTGCACTGAAAACTCAGCCCTATCAATCAATAGGGTAGACCCCTGGTTAATAAAGTCCCTCTTTGAACTGCCCCCCAAATCCGCGTAGGGGCTCAAATTAAAGCTTAAGGGTCTTCAGGTGTGGAGCTTAAGACTTACTGTCATGGCGTCAGTGTTTCAAGGTTTCGGGCAGCGTGTTTCTGATTTACGGGTGTTCGCCGTTTTAGTGCTTACGGCTTAGAGCTTTTGTTCATGCCTCCGTGGATGAAATAAAACCGCACGAGCTCAAGCGTCTCCTGGTTCCCCTTTAATTTAAGGGTACTAGAGGGCCCTCTTTTGAGGCTCCTATAGGGTTTTTATAGGTTACTAGGGTCCCCTGTTATCGGGTGTGACATGTAGTCATGTAGATCAGAATATCTTCCTCAAGTCCAGATGCCGAGGCCCGAGATGTTTGCGGGTGTCCCAGCTTCTTCGGAGCGTTGACGATGAGAGAGTGATTCATGCGAGCATCTCCGAGTATCTGCATGGTGAAAGCCCTTCTGTTACAGGATGCTACTGTACAGGAATCTCAAAAACCCTAAACCCTAAACCCTAAACCCTAAACCCTAAACCCTAAACACCCTAAACCCTAAACCCTAAACCCGAAACCCTAAACCCTAAACCCTAAACCTAACACCATAAGCCCGAAACCCTAAACCCTAAACCCTAAACCTAACACCATAAGCCCGAAACTCGGAAGGCTCTAGCCTAACCTTAAGCCCTGGAGCCTAATCCTACACCCGAGGCAGGACCCGGTGCCCAAAACCCGAAACCTTAAAACCCTAGGACCCGTAACCCTACCTGGACCCTAAAAGGCCTACCTCTTAGAGATCCTGAATATGATTTCCTACGTGCTTAAAAAGGTAGCTGTTTTTTTCAAGGCAGGTAGGCCATATCCAAACTCCCGACCCCAGTCCGGAGCCCTATCCAAGGGACACCGAAACCAAATAAACGAGTCGTTGAAGCTTATTCGCCCGGCTTCAGGGTTTAGGGTTTCAGGGGTTCAGGATTTAGTGTTTAAACGGGTCTCGGAAGCCTGCAACTGTGCGGGCCGTACCTGCATCTGCATTACCTGGAAAACATGAGAGCGACAGAAAACGGACGCAGACAGGAAGACTCGGTAGGATTACACCGCAGACCCAAGTCCCGACGTACCATAAAACCCGAGGCCTGTTGAAGCTCCGAGACCTCGTCCAAAGCTATCCAAAGACTCGTAAAGACTTAGTTTCATGGGATCTTCGGAAACCCTCAACCCTAAACCTCCCAAGGACCTTCAGAAACTTCAATCTCTCGAACTTAAAGATCTGACCCTATGAGGATCGTCTGAAACTTAAACACTAATACAGAAAACCTCGTAAGGATCTTCGGAATCTCTTGATTTCCGGTCCCGCTAAGAGGTGCACACCCCGAGCTGCCGCAAGTACCTGGGACGGCATTATGTCTAGGGTTTAGGTCCGTTTAGGTTTTATGGTTTGGGTTTACGGTGAAGACTTTAAAGTTCAGGCTTTTGGGATTGTTCTTCATGTTTCTAGGGCATTTTGGGGCTTTCATGGCTTCTCGGGTCTTGAGCCTACTGATTGCGAGTGAGATGCGAAGGCGAATGTTCAGTTGGTAGGGTTATCCTCTCGGATTGCGTCTAAGGTTGGGCATCTAGAGCCAAAGGCTTCAGGGTTTAGGTTTACGGCATACACCGCAAGTCCGTGCTTAAGAAAAGGTTTACGGCCACGAGTATGAGACTTCAGCTCGTTCCTGTTCGTTCAGGATTCACTCTTTCGGCGAAGGGCTTGGCGTACTGTAGGATTCTGGGCCGGGCTTGGATCCCAGCCTAGCCGGACCCTGCAATTGCGACTGCCTGGCATTTGTGAGTTTCCGCTGTATCATCCTTTCACCCAGTGTGACCCGGTCAGAAACGTTGCCGCTTGTGGCAATTTCCAGATTGCCCGTTCTTCTATTTGCTGGTTTTGCGCCTGTAGCGCACATGGTCAGTAGGAGCCATGCAAGTGCTTCTGGTCATTCTGAGTTCCAGTTTCCTTTGGGTTTCCTGATTTGTTTGATACCCTCGTCCTGATCCCTGATCCGTGCAATTGCCTTTGCTGCCGCTGCTAGTCCCGCTGTAAACAGACAGACAGAGACAGAGACAGAGAGAGAGAGAGAGAGAGAGAGAGGGAGGGAAGAAGACCAAGCAAAAAAGCACAAATCCGTAGGTAGTACATGGAAGCTGCAAAGCATCACAACCTCGAGGTTTTGAGCACTTCTTCAATTTTCGTGGTTTTTTTTTATTCCTTTACCCAGTGCCAGAAATGGAGCCCATTCTTTCCTAGCTTATAATCCTCGAACCCACCTCTCAGGCATTGCCTCTTGTCTTTCGACCACGCGCCAGTGGTTGCCGCTGTGCGGGCGGCCGTGGGGGTCCCGGAGTCCTTCTGTGGTTCCTTTAGGAGCTCGAACTATTCGTAATCTTATGCCTGAAAGGCTCCCTATGGTGCTTATAGTTTAGTGGTCCTTTAGGAGCTTGAATAATTCGTATTCTTATGCCTGAGAGGTTCCTTATGATGCTTGTAGTTTAGTGGTTCCTTTCGGCGCCTGAATAATCCGTAGTTTGATGCCTTACGGGTTCTTATTACCTATTATGCTTATAGTTCAACAAACCCCCTACTGCCCTAAAAAGGTTCCGTATTATGCTTATACTTTAATAAAACCCTCTACGCCCTATTCTAAGCATGCAGGCCCCTATGGTGCCGGAGCCTTGCCTCGGGTCAGTTCGCAAACTTGCAGTGCGAGGTCGGTTTCAGCTTCAAGTCTTGAGTAGAAGTAGACAGAGGGGTCCTACGGTTGATGACCTCATGATGACGCGAGACTATGGGAATTATGGTATGTTCCTTGTTATGGGTAATGCCGGATTTATGTCATTTATCGTAGCGCTTAATCCTCGAAGCCACTCCCATCAAAAAAAGGACCCCTCCCGTCACCTGGTCTGAAGATCGTGCTATCAGTTTTGACAGTGCGCAGGGGGCAATCCGCAGCAGGTGTCGGTTTTGTGTTGGCAAGCGAGATTCCACGGTCAACCATAGGCTAAGAGCCTGGATCAAATGCGGCCGAACATT